GTTCACCAAAATAAATCTAATTCATAGAAACTCCAAAATAAAAGATAAAACGTCTCTTGTGTCTCTGTTATACATCCTTTATTTTCGTTGGTTTATCTGATGAGAAAAGAAAGAAAGAAAGAAAGAAAGAAAGAAAGAAAGAAAGAAAGAAAGAAAGAAAAAAAAAAGAAGCAAAAGATAAGGGAGGAAGTGGGGATTTTACAGTGGAGAAAGAAAGAATATAAAGAAATATAAAGAAAGAAAGAAAATTTAAAAGAAAGAAAGAAAAAGAAAGAAAAAGGAGGAAGTGGGGATGTTTCACAGTCAAATAGTGAAAAAAAGAAAGAAAGAAAGAAAGAAAGAAAGAAAAAAGAAAGAAAAAAAAGGAGGAAGAAATTAAAATGTTTCACAGTGAAGAAAGAAAGAAAGAAAGCATCTACATTATACCCCCACCCTCGCCTGCCAGGTTCCATTTTTGCCTTCTATTGATTCTCTATTTTTGGTTCAGGTTATAGTTTTCATGATTTTGAAATGATTATGTTGGATAAACACAAGAGACTAAGGTGGATCAATAAATCTGCAGCTTAATGTAATTATCAGCTGAATTATGAGCTAAAATGCTCTCTGTATAACTTCCACTGAATCAAGTGCAATGACAACGAAAAATATTATGTTGAATGTTATATACCGTACCTACGAACACTAATAGGTATGTCCCAAAACTCATATTGTAAGTGTGGGGTAATATGCTAAGTAGTCCACCACTAGAAGTGGTTTACCTACTTCACGTGGCTGGCGAGTATTGTATTTTGTTGATTACCATTTCATTTCTAATCTCCATTTTGGTTATTTCTCATTTAGTAACCCTGTGTAGGTTACAACGTTTGAAAAATATATTTTGTGTAAAATAAATGCTTTTATTTATTATTAGCTTACAGACTTGTTGATGTATCTGTGTGTCTGTGTATGTGTATGAGTATGTGTGTGTGTGCGTGTGTGTAATATATATGGGAAGGAGATCCCAGTATGCAACACTTTTGCAAAGTTCGTCCTGGGTATGACGATAAACTACATCCGCGTCCAAGGTAAGACGATAAACTACGTTCAACAGCAAGGCCTCTGATCAGGAGGTTTTGAGAAGCGTGGAACCACCTCTTAATTTTGGTGTTCCCAGGTCCACCCTGATCCGGGGTGGTAGCACCTGTTAGGGTCCCAGCTATGGGCAAATAGTTAACCCTGAAACTGAGGTAAAAAGCATTATAAAAAACCAAAAAATAGGTTTTAATACCAGAAAATTTTGTAATAAATTTTTTGAAGAAAAAAAATTATTACCAGCAATACGTTGAAAAAAATAATATTACCAGCTATACATTTTTGAGGAAACAAATATTACCAGAAATATAATTTTTGACAAAACAAAATATTACCAGGAAAAAAGCTGTCGGCATTAAATAACCCATTGAGGTTTGATGTGCCGTAGAACAAAGCAAACTAAACCAAACATATATATATGTATACATACACTTTTTTCTTTTTTTTTTTTACCAAACTATCGCTATGAATCTATTTCAAATTTAAGTTGGCATTAAATGACCAACTGAGGTTTTGATATGCCATAAAACAAAACAACCAACCAACCAACTTTTGCAAAGTATCTGAAAACCACACCCACGAAAAAGAGTGTGAAAAACGAGAAGTATTAAGTATGGGAAGCCATTGGTATAAACCAATGGCTTCTGTTATAAATTATAGGCATTTAAAGAAATTTGTGGAGATTTCATAGTTTAATTTGTTCAGGTTAGATTTCAAATGTTTTATGTATACAGCTTCAAGAATTTTTAATTTTTATTTATTGTTTTCATGTTTAAGTATAGTTGTGTTTTCAATTTCGGAATTGAATACGTGGGCAGGCATGTTGTTTTAAATGTCTAAAAATGTTAGAGATATCATTTAAATGTAGAGTCAAGCTTCACAAACTTAATACATCTCGTTTTTCACTCTCGCGTGGTCATGTGTGACGTCACGAGCTGCGACGCGATTTTCGCGATTTTCGCTTCCGCGTCTCGTATATACGAGTTTGTCGTTACTTGGATATTTTTCATGCAGCAAGGGCGGACTATCATTGTTGTTTCGTCTGTGTGTTGTTTGATTTATTGAAATTGTCATCTTTGATAATGATTAAAAAATGTACTTGGAAAGCTTAGATTGGGTTTAAACATGTATCGATATGGTGTTTTCCTTTCGTCTTTCAACGATAATGTTTTTAAGTTTATCAGACAATATGCAAGGAACTTACTTAAATTAAATAGACAAAACTTGTGTCTATATTATTTAATGAAACATGCAAATATATATATATATATATATATATATATATATATATATATATATATATATATATATATATATATATGCAATTTGTGATGGTGATTGGTATGATAATTAATTCCAAGGAGGATATTAAAAAGGAAATAGATAAATAAAGAGAATAATATAAAATACATAAAATAATAATAATAATAATAATAATAATAATAATAATCAAGAAGAATACCTTAAAGATTCATTTCGGTTAAAATTTATTTCATGAATATCTATATATCTATATTTTCGTGAATATCTATATATCTATATTAGTATTTTGGGGTTATTTTTTACATTTTTTAATCGTTCGTAGCACGTCGAAAATTTTCGTTAAAAATCTTGTTTTTTTTTAGTCAGCAAAATTGACAGATAATCATGTCAACCATTTTTCACCATTTTATAAAAATATGAAAATCTTGGTTTGAAATTCTTTTAAAAATCAATTATAATTTTTTGAAAACTTATTTTAAGAAAATCAGAAATTATAATGTTTATTTAAAATATTTTGAAACAAGCTTAACTTAGTATCTGTGCCGAAAAGATGTAGTTTGAAAATAAAATAAAGCAGATCATAAACTTTCGTGTCACTTAACAGGTGACGAGAGACATTTTCATGACGTACTGATCGCTTACGTGTGGATAATTACTTCTACGGAAGGAGAGAAGTGAAATTATTTAGATTTAAGCGAACAAATTATTTATCTCGTTATTTTTAAGGAAAACTTTCAGCGCTCTAATTTTTTTGTACTTTGCTTTCACCTTTACATTTACGATGCTTTATGGGAAACATATTATAAAGAAATTAAAATAAGACTGTTAAGAGTGAGATTATGAAACAATAAGAATGGTATCTAATTAAATAGGTACCTTTCTTATGAAATTTTATCAAAAGTGTACATAAAATACAAATTAAATTTCATAAGATGATATGATACTTGTTAAGCCCTTCTCAGTTGAAATTAAAAAATCAAATTATTAAATTCTCCACACATGTTTCGCAAAAATAAATCAATCTCAAAAGGACATTTACGAAAGTGAATGCGGCTTTTAATTAATTTTATAATATTTTAACTTAAATTTAAAAATCTATTATAATTAAAGAAATAACAAATAATTGTATTAAAAATTCAATATGTAAATTAAATACTAGACAGAAACTCAATCCACGCGACGTTTATTTTTTATTGCACACATGATACTTCCCGTCTTCCGTAGATTTTATTTACAGTCTTATTATTGACACAAATTATATTTTTTTTATATACTGGTGTTCGTTAGTTTGTAAGAAGCTTTGGAAATTATAATCTGTAAATATATATCTACTTAATAACAACATTCGTTAAATTTTACAAACTTTTCCCTAATTTTAGAAGAATTAACAACGTTTAATGTGAAATAATGAAATATTTCAGAAATAACAAATAATTGTTTTAAAAATCCATTTTTCATCGAAATAACTTTTTGCTTTCAGACAATATTGTCCATGTTCATTGAAATAAATAAGAGCTATTAAAAGCTTTAGAAATTAAATAATATTTTTGTTTTATTGAGTTTTGTATGTTACAATACAGACACGATTTTCAGGTAGAGATTGTCTAACTAAAAAACAAAAAAACAAAAAACAAAAAAAAACATGATTTGATTTCCTCAAAGCCTTGTGCTTTTAACTAATATAATCACTAATCCTCCCAAAATTGAAATTATAGAGTTTTCGTACAATTAGTTGGTTGGGGTGGGTTGTAATACGTATGAAAAAATATTTTTGCCATGACTTTAAAAAAGGAAAACATATTTATAATAAATTCCATCATTTGTGAATAGTTTCTGAAAGTTTCATTAAAATCCGACATTTATTTTTATTTTTGCAAGATTTTCAAAATTAATGTTTGTCATACAGAAAAAAAAAACGCACTCAAATTATATATTTTATTTTACTAGTTCTGGTGGTACAAAGAGAGAAAAAAAAAGTTTTTTTTAATCAAAATTTACAATATTCTAAAAAGAAGGAAAAATTTTTTAAAATAATTAAAAAATACTTTGATCTTTCCTCTTAATAATAACAAACATTTAGACGCTAAAAATTTTGTTTTCGTCAAGCTCGGCGTCTTTTTCATCATGCTATGCTCGGTTTTAAGCGATCTCATGAAGGGTCCTAAATATACAGAAAATATGATTCCAAATTAAAAAAAAAAAAAAACCTAATGGCATAGAAAAGCTCCTCCAAACCTCAAAACTTTTTTGTTACGATAACTTTTGAATTTTGATTCTGTTCACCCCGCTTCAGGATTTCAAACCTTATACATGAGCCACCCGATAACAGGTCGCTTTGAAATCAATCCTATCTTTGTACATGACAACAAGGACAGTTCAATAGACAGCCGTTGACAAGGGAGATGTTTAAATCCTGTTTGATAAGCCTTTGATGCTGTTCGAGGTGGAAGGTCTCCATACTGAACTTGAACGCCCTAGCTTTATCAGAGTTGAAAAACAAAACTTAACAACGAATAAGGCGGGAGTTAGGCCAGAGTAAAGGCGCCTTTATGTATAGAGGAACAAAGGTCAGCATAAAAAAAAATTAATTTGCATTATGAACTGAATTAGAGCAGTGTATAAGTGAAAACGATTTGCCCTTCGTTCATTTCCTCTTTTTTTAATCAATGTTCATATCTATCGATCTCTCTAGTCTCTTTATAATCTATCTATCTATCTATCTATCTATCTATCTATCTATCTATCTATCTAGTCTCTTTGTAATCTATCTATCTATCTATCTATCTATCTATCTATCTATCTATCTATCTATCTATCTATCTATCTAGTCTCTTTGTAATCTATCTATCTATCTATCTATCTATCTATCTATCTATCTATCTATCTTAGTCTCTTTATAATCTATCTATCTATCTAAAGAGGCACGGTGAAGTAATGGATAGCAGCTTGAATTGAGAAGTTGGAGAGCCGAGTTCCAATTCAAGTCGAATCCTTCACTTACGTGCTAATACCATTGGGAAAGGTATGAATCCTCGAATTCGCCCCCAGTTATGGGTAAATAGCAGAACAGACCACGTTTTCTAGCCTTGGATGGCAACTGGTCTACTGCAGAAAGAAATGGAAACCTACTGCGAATAAAAAAAAAATCTGCCTCATCAGGCATGTATCGAAAGATATATGATCGCCTAAGCATGTATCACGCATGGTACATAACTGACTCACTATCTATCTATCTATCTATCTATCTATCTATCTATCTATCTATCTCCGTCTGTTCACTATCTATCTATCTAAATCTATCTATCTATCTATCTATCTATCTATCTATCACAGTCTCTTCATATCTATCTATCTATCTATCTATCTATCTATCTATCTATCTATTATATAGGTTTATGAGGGTGGGGTGTTTTCTTGTGCCACATGTTTAGTTACTTGTTCTTTGTCAGCGGTCATTTCTTATAATTTAGACATTTTATTAATCGTTATAAAAACTGGGTGAAAATACCAAAAGTATGCTGAAAACACTTAGTAATTGCCATCGCATTGCAACAACCTAGACCAGTGTTTCTCAAACATTTTATTTTATTTTTTTTTTTACTTCCGAGTACACATGCAGAATAACAAAAGCTTTGGGTTGAACTTTATATTTTAATAAAGAAAAATTATTCATGGACTTTAAAAATAGCAAAATAATAAAGAAACCTCCTGAAATAAGCATTTATTTTTTCTAGGCCTTTAGCGTTTTTAAAAATAAATTACTCTTCTGTTAACTTGTGGCGTTTCTTCCTTTTTAATCAATGTTCATATCTATCTATCTCTCTAGTCTCTTTATAATCTCTCTCTCTCTCTATCTATCTATCTATCTATCTATCTATCTATCTATCTATCTATCATAGTCTCTTTATAATCTATCTATCTTAGTCTCTTTATAATCTATCTATCTATCTATCTATCTATCTATCTATCTATCTATCTATCTATCTATCAGGGTGCATTATTGTGCCTGGGGCATCAGTTGAGGAATATCGCATTAGAGCATAATAAATCTGTAAACATTTGACTCAGACCAGTAGGGGTGCCAGCACAAATGTCACTGCGCTAACCTCGTAGTACATTGCAAATGAGTTCCTTCTTTTCTATACCCTCTACTAATGAGCTAATGGCGTTACATGAAAACATTATTACCATCTCAAGGAAGTAAAAGAACTGAATTAATTTAAAGAGTCGAATCTCTGAATTATATTAAAGATTAATCTATCAAGAACTTGAGTTTTATTTTATTAGATTGAATTGAGTTTATTTTTACGCTGTCTTTTGTCAGACATCATTGTTTTTTTATGGCTTCAACGTAAAAATACGGTGGTTCATTTGCATCCTTCACTGTTTCAGTTCAATTCCTTTATAAGTTATTTTCCTTTCATTTCCTTCCTTCATCATTTCCTACATACGTTATTTCTTTTCATTTCCCGATTTACCATTTCACATCATTTCCTTCAGACGTCTTTCCATTTCATTTGCTTCCGTCAACATTTTCCATATTTTCCTTCATATTTAAATCATTTCTTTCCTCCATCCTTTCACTTCATTTAGTTCATGCGTTATTTCCTTTCATATCCTTCCTGAATCATTCCACTTAATTAACTTCATAGATTATTTTCAACCATTTCCTACCTTAAACATATAACATTATTTCTATAATCTGCTATTTTATTTCATTTCCTACTCGATCATTTAAGTTTATTTCATTAAAGCATCATTTCCTTTCATTTACCCTATTAATTCATTTCATTTATGCATTATTTCCTTCATTCAACATTTCATATCATGTCCTTCGTACGTTATTTCATTTCATTTGCTTAACCTTTTTCCTTCATTTCAATCATATATTATTTTGTTTAATTTCCTTCCTTAGTAATTTAACATAAATTCTTTCATGTTATTTTCTTTTTTTTTCGCTTTTAATCATTTAAAATCATTTCCTTCATAGGCTATTTTATTACATTCTCTTCCTACATCATTTCACTTAATTTCCTTCGTACGTTATACAATTTCATTTGATTCCCTTATCATTTAACATCTTTTCCTTCATATGTTATTTCACTTCATTTCCTTTCGAGATTATTTCTTTCTTCATCATTTCACTTCATTTCCTTCGTACGTAATTTCGTTTCATTTCCTTCCTTCATCATTTCACTTCATTTCCTCCGCACGCAATTTCTTTTCATTTATTTCCTTCATCATTTCACATCATTTCTTTCGTACGTAATTTATTTTCGTTTCCATCCTTCATCATTTCACATAATTTACTTCATACGTAATTTCGTTTCATTTCCTCCATTTATCATTTCATTTCAGTTCCTACATATATTCTTTGTTTTCATTTCCTTCGTTTCCGTTTTGCTTTATTTCCTTCATACGATATTTCCTTTCATTTTCTTTCTTCATCATTTCACTTAATTTCATATTCGTACGCTATTTTTATTTCATTGAATTGCTTCATCATTTCTCTCCATTTCTTTCATATGTTATTTCTTTTTATTTCATTCTTTCATTATTTCACATTATTCCGACAAATGTTATTTCCTTTCATTTCCTCCTTTACCATTTCTCATTGTCTTCTTCTTATGATATTTCCTTTCATTTGCTTCCTTTACCATTTAAACTCGTTTCTTTCATATATCATTTCCATCCGTAGTCATTTGACTTGATTTTCTTTATACGTTATTTTCCTTACATTTTCTTCTTTATCGATTCTCTTCATTCGTTCATGCGTCATGTCTTTTCATTTCTTTCGTTCAACATTTCACTTCATTTTCTTCGTACGTTAGTTCATTTCATTCGCTTATTTCACAATTTTAATCATTTCTATCATATATTATTTTGTTTAATTTCCTTCCTTAGTAATTAAACATAAATTCTTTCATACGCTCTTTTCTTTTATTTCCTCCCTTAATTATTTAACTTTATTTCCTTCGTATGCAATTTTATTACATTTTCTTCGTTCATCATTTCACTTCATTTCCTTCATAAGATTGAACACTTTTTTCCTATAAATATAGAGATATATATGCGTATAAACAACGTAATAATGTGTTAAGTCTTTTATCGTCACTATTCTTTAATCAGTTTTAGATGTTAACTTCTTCTACTGATAAATCATAATGTTTTGCTTGTAAATTATCTTTAAATTCTACTTCCTGGCTGTTGATTTGGATATCTCGAAGGCATTTGACATGTCTTCATCACAGGTTGAAAGGTCATGGCATTCATGGAAGATATGTGAACTGATTCAGTCTTTCTTATCAAATCGTGAAATCAGAGTTGTCTTGAATGGCCACTCTTCTAGATCATTTTGCATAGATGCAGGTATTTATCAGAGCTTTATATTTGGATCTACATTGCTTATAATATTAATAAATAATCGTTCTCAATCGGTATCTTTTCTTATGTCACAACTATTTACTCTTGCCTTAATAGTAAGTCTGGTCGGTTCGATGAGGTTAAATTAGCAGCTGATCTAAAAAAAATGACCTATAATCTGTTGTTAAATGACGCAAAGAATGGTTTGTTAATGTTAACGCCTCCAAAACGAAATTGCTCTCTTTGAATCGTCTGAGAGGACCCTTTTTACCTTCACACTTCATGGCTGATGCTAACCACCAGGAAAGTGACTCATTGCGCTTTCTCGGACGAAAGTTTTTTACTGACATGAAATTATATTTGTTGTGGTAGGATCCACCTAATTTGCATAGTGGAGTACCGACCATATAAATATGGTTGGTACCGGGAAGAGAGGGAGGAATCAAGAGATTCAACCAGAGACTCTGCCCGACTGCGACTCAGTCAACCCATTCTCCAGGAACGGTCTTCCCAGGAATATACAAAAGACTATATGTAAATATTGTGTACACTTTCTTGTTTCAATACATTTTGTTCTAAGTACATTTTGTGTTGTATTATTATTCCATGCATTAGTCAAGTTTCAACAATATTGAATCAATTTCTAGGTCTGCTGCTAGGAATGTAGATTTTCTATGATGCGCTAGACAGTTTTTTTTTCTCGCCAGAATCTATCTTACATATTTACAAGTCTACCATTCGTCCTTGTTTTGAATAGGGCTAGATTGGGGGGTAGATTTTTCACATTTATTACACCAATTAATCAATGGATGGATCGATTAACTGATGTCAGAAATATGAAGAGTTAAGAAGAAATGGACGGACAATGTAGACTCCCATTGGCAAAATAGGCGATCCAAATGCATTATGAAACATTAGCATTAAAATCAACTTGACTCTGTCAAGCATATTTTCTAGAATGTCTCATGATCGATAATAAGAACCGGTTTAAAGCTGAAAATAGAAATGCTGATTTTCGAAGCAGGCAGGCCTTCTTTACTTGGAACATTGACGCAAAACAAACTTTCTAAATCCTAGAGATAGCTAAATATATTCTTTTGAATCCGATAAGAATCTAGAGGTCTTTACAAGAATTTTTTTCTGTCGTCTGCAGGTTGTTTTGTATCTCAAACGAAAAAAAAAAGCCGTTGCTTTTTCCTTCCGGTTGTAGCCTCAAGACGTTCGCTTCAGCTCACAATTCTTTCAGTTTCGGAAAAGGAAAATAAAAACGAATCTTTTAAACATTGACAAAATTGAGTTGAACAGACAAAAAAAAATGTGTAAAAAATTGCAAAGAAGGCAAAAAAGAGGCGGGGGATTTCAAGGGATCCATAGATTTTGAGGGAAACAGGTGCATTGTTTAGGAGAGAGGAAAAGGAGATTGATTGACAGGGGGGGCAATGGGGTCAAGAAAGGAAGGAATCACGATCGATGTGGAATGTTTTCCCCCGGAAAACATATGTTGAGGAAAGTCACCTTTCTGGCAAGTGAAGTGAATATCTTGCTTTTCGCTATTAACTATAGGCCAATATTGTTTTTTGACCATGCGCGCGCGCACACACACACACACATCTATACATATATATATTGTATATATGTTTGGTTGAATAATCCGGATATATTATGTTCATTTATTTTTATTTTTTCAAATTCACGGATCAATTTCTTAATGTTGTTATTAAACTGATTAAGGAAGAAGCCGTAGTTATTTTCATTTATTTTATTTTCCCAAGTACTTTCAATCTCTTCCAAGCGTTTTCCTCTATAAGCGAGGCGCAGGTTCGAATCTTTTTCGGAAGGCCCAATATTTTTATTAGCCCTTTCGAATGCACAGACATAGATTTACAGTGTTTAAAAAACAAGGATGTCTGCTCTAATACATGTATTTGCTAAATATAGTGTTTGAAGTAATAATAATGAAAAATATTTATAATATTAAGGGCCTTCCCCAAAAAGGGATACCTAAAGTTTAAAGTTAATTTTAAAAAATTGAAACTTTTATTTTACTTTTAATTTCAAGGTAATAGAATCAGTTTAATATTTCCAGTAAGCAAAATATTTTGCTGCATTTCAAAACTAATTTAAACTGACTTTGCTGCATTTCAAAACTAATTTGAACTGACTTTGCTAAAAAAAAAAAAAAAAATAACCTGACTCCAGCGCTGAATAAAAACAAAAGGAAAACTTAGCCGCTTACTTTCATCCTCTGATGAACTTTATGAAGGAAAATGTAAGGATTTTATTTTGCAACAAGTATTTAGAAACAAAAGTAAAAATGTTGTTAGTTTTTCTAAATTTGTAAATTTAAGAAACGCTCATAAATATCCATCGCGTTAACTGAAAAGTCACAGTAAATTATGGGGGATGCTAAGTAACGTAATTTAATGACTAATAAATGAAAGAATTTTAAATGATATTAAATTTTTTTGCCCATATATAAATTCGACACACACACACACACTATATTTATATATATATATATATATATATATATATATATATATATATATATTTAAGTTAAAAAAGAAGAAACAATGTAAACTGAATGGGTAATTCCAAGGAGGATGAAATCTCCTGAGAGCTCAATGAATCCAGAGCTAATATTTAATGAAAAAAAAAACAGACCATTTTTAAGTTACCATTAAAATAATTTATTTCACCAAAATCCTTTTTAAAGGGAAGAATTCATCAGGTAACAATTCCAACAACGAAATGAAAGGAAAAATGGGATTAGAAATTGATGGGTAGTGTATTTTTTTTATAATTTAACAGATATGATTGATAGTTGTAGTTAACGAGACAAGGCAGAGTATAGGGAGGGGTAATTAATTATATATATATATATTATTGTTTGTGTGTTCAGAATTTTTTTTTTTCCATTTTGTAACTTAATAACTGATACAAAAAAAAAAACAAGCTACCATTTTCCTTTGTATGGACGAGTGGAGTTCTCTGTATCCTTGAAACAGGGAATTATGAATTTTCATTTATTGGGTTTTTTAAAAAGATTAAATTTAAAAATAAGTTTACTCAAAATTTGCTTGAGGATGAAATGGAACTAATTTTTTTAATTTAATTACAAAATTAAATCATTTTTTTAGCTTCCATTTTTTGAAACATGGTTAGAAAATATAAAAAAAACATCATAAATTTTTAATTATAAAATATATATATATATATATATATATATATATATATATATATATATATATATGGAATTTATTTATAGTTGTTCTAATTGGGAGAAAAGTGTATATTTTAAAAAGAAGATGAACCACAAAATTTTTTTTTTAATTTATATATTATACTCTACTGTCCATAATTCTGCTACACGTGTTTCTGGTTTCATGAACTTTCTTCAAGCAAAAGAGTAGATATTTAAAAATATACTAAAAAAAATTTTTTTAGCGTGGTAGTGATTCAAATGTCTTTTTTTAAAGAATTTCGGATTTATTTACCTAACATGTTCTTTCCTATTTTTTATATATTTGCACACACACACACACACACACACACAAATATATATATATATATATATATATATATATATATATGTGTAATATATGTATGTTTTAAATATTTTTAAAAAATATAAAATTCCGTCTCATTAATTGTACATGTCTGAATTACATTTTTTCCAATCATAAATGACTATAAGCGTTAACGCAACTCTTTAGCCTAACGGAGAATTTTCAAATTATTTACAATGAAGGATATGAAATGTGATTTAACATGATTTATTGATTTCTGTTTTTTTATACTAATCAATGAAACATATTTAGTATAAAGAACTGATTCATTTAAATAAAATGTTTTTTCACTACTCATACAATTGAGTAATTTCAACTGTTAATATAAAGCCAGTCATTGCAGATCTATGTGGTGTTCTATGAGCATAAGAAAGAGGAAAATGGCAGTTTATTATGGTTTTTTTAAATATAACGGTTAACCCTAGACTTTAAGAGATCAAGATTCATAGTAAAGGGAAAGCATTTAAATCCAAAAATTCCACAAAGCAGCAGTTCTTGGGAAGAAGCTGTCCGGATGGAACTTACTCCTCACTAATGGAATACAGAGGGAATGGAGATGATTCAGTCTTGTGTACGTGGCATTTCAGGTTCCATTTGCAAAGGTCAGTGGTGACTGGACCAAGAAATGCAGCTCATCAGAAGTCATGGAAGTAGCGATAAAGGCTCGCGACGTTTCGTCTGTGGGGAAAGGATTATAGGATGGATAATACTTCATCCCTCACGAGGCAGAGGAGACGCTTTTGAACTCTATCAAGACAGAAAAGTA